GATCTCCCTATGTCTATAAAACCCTGGGGGAAATCACTTAAATACCTCAGGACAGGTCACAGAAATTTGTGGCTAGCAAGATGGCTCAGTGGGTACAAGTGCCTGCTCCACATCCTTAGGACCTGAGTCCAAGCCATAGGACTCACTGTAGAAAGGAGAACCAACTCCTGAAGTTGTCCTCAGAACACCATTTAAATGCTGGGGTACAGACAAGACACACACACACACACACACACACACACACACACACACACACACACACACACACACACACGCGTACATAATACACAAATGCATAATACATACTTATATAATACATACACACAAAGACCTGTGCTTCCTCTTTTGACAGTGTTGAGCCCAGCATGTGCCTTCCTCCCCACTGTTAGTGTCATTCTGTCACAGGACAGTAAGAGTAAGTATAGGGTTAGCTATGTGGCCTAGAACCCATTTTCAATCCCAGTATCTTACACTTAGGAACTCTAGTCCTGTGTACCCTGAGTGAGAGAGGCCGAGGCCTCTCCTCTCCCCACCACCTAGCTATGCCCTTCCCACGGGCTTCAGTCCATTGTCAAGCCAGTTCAAGGCTTGCCTTCATAGCATGCCTATCCTCTCACATAGTCTTCATGTCCACTGTACATTCAGTAACTACCACCCTGTCCATTGCACAAAACATCTTTCTGATTTTGTTTTTCCTTGAATATTCATTGAGAATTAGTATCTCACACTTCTTTACTATCTTCCCCTTGTGCTACACACAACACTCAGTAAAATGTTTTTTTTTTGTGTGTGTGTGTGTGGTTTTTCTCAACACAGAGATTCACTATGTAATCTTGGCTGTCCTGGAACTCACTCTGTAGACCAGAATGGCCTCAAACTCACAGAGACCCGCCTTGTTCTGCATCCCAAGTGCTGGGATTAAAGGCATGTGCCACTTCGCCTAGCAACACTCTGTAAGTATTTTAACCAACAGAATCATAGCATTCCTGGGGCTGGGATAGAGCCGGAGGGTAATGAAAGGGATGTCTTGATTGGGGGGTTAAGGGTAAAGGAGAAACCTAGTGCCAGGGAAACTCCCAGGAATCCACAAAGATGACCCCAGCTGAGACTCCTGAAATAGTGAAGAAGGTACCTGAACTGGCCATCTACTGTAATCAGATTGATTACTACCCTAATTGTCATCAGAGAGCCTTCATCCAGTAACTGATGGAAACAAATGCAGAGATTCACAGCCAAGCACTGAGCTCTAGGAGTCTTGCTGAAGAGAGGAAGGAGGGACTGTATGAGTCGGGAGGTCAAGATCATGATGGGGAAACCCACAGAGACAGCTAGCTGACCTGAGCTAGTAGGAGCTCATGAAATTTGAACCAATAGCTAGGGAGCTTACATGGGACCAGCATAGGCCCTCTGCATGTTGGTGACAGTTGTGTAGCTTAGTCTGTTTGTGGGGTCCATAGCAGGAACTGTCTCTGATGCTTGAGCTGGCTTTTGGGAATCTATTCCCCATTCTGGGTTGCCTCAACCAGCCTTGATTCAGAGAACTTACCATCCCACGGTTGCCCTGGTCAGGATCACATCAAACAGCAGCAGTGATAAGCCAGCTGTCATGACCTGCAGACAAAAAACAATGCCATCAGAGCAGCAGGAGTCTCGGACACTACCACATCATTTCTCCCAAGCTTTAAAACGGACTGTCTCTTCATGATCCCCTGAGCAAATTGAGAGCATGAGAAGAAGGGGGAGGGAGCTACGAGACTGAGAAGGAAAGAAGAGGAAGGATGCAGAGGTCATGAGGGAGCAGAAAGGTTGAGTGAGGTGAAAATAGAAGAAAGGGTAGGTGATGGGTAGGGTTTCAGTGGGGGGTGGTGGTAGGGGAGGACGGGAGGGAGAAGGGAACTGGGATTGTCATGTAAATCAATCTTGTTTCTAATTCAAATTTAAAAAATGATAAAAAAGGACTGTCTCTGACATTAGCACCCCTACCCATAGGTCCTCTGCATTTAGTGTGGCCTCTGAATGAAAGCATGATGTGGAAAGTGTTATGTCCTATAGTCTGTTGGAATCCCCAAAGAAGAATTTTCGTTTCCAAACTGCTCAGAAGAGAGGTGTAGTGCCAAAGTCACAGAGAGACTGTATCAACAGCATTCCTCTTGTCTCATTACACAGAATCCAGCTCGAGGGTCATGATGCTCACAGACCAATGCCCAGATCCCCAGGGGAAACACTTACCTGTCCATACAGCTGCATCTCTCTTGCCCCTTCAGTAACCCAGTCTTTCTAGATTGTGACACACATTCTAAGAAACCAAGTGCTTCATGGGGGAAGAGGGCAAATGAATCACTAATTATCTGAATCACAGATGCTGAAGTAGAGGGAAATGGTTAGTCATACACCTTCTAAGAAATTCCAGAAGACTCAGGAATGGTAGCCCTTGAGTCCAGACTCCAGAGTGTGCCTCAGAGCACACTGAGTCTTGAAATGAGTGTGAACCAACGACCCAACTATCTACACTTAGAACGTCCGTGTTAGGACAAGGCTGTGTCTAGAAATCTGCATTCTGCAGGCCAGAGCCGCTTCTCTCGGGAAGGTAAACCTAAGGACCTGCTTTCTTGCTGAGAGCCATTCAAGCTGGGAGTTCTCAAAAACCTCTGATACTCCCCACATCACCCCTACATTCCCCACCCCTGTCATGGGGTTGTCCTGCACTGTCTCAGAGGCTTTTCAGGTGTCCCAGCTAGGAACAAGGCAGCAAGATGATGGCCAGGAATGGGTTTAATAAGCTCCTCCTCATGCTCTATCTTTCTTTATCTCCTCTCCTCTTTCCTGTTCCCCTCCTTACTTCATTTTTCTCCCTCTTTCCCCTTTGCCCTGTGTGTGTGTGTGTGTGTGTGTGTGTGTATGGGCACTCATGTGCTATAGCATGCAAGTAGAGGTCAGAGGACAGCTTCATGTGTTGGCCCTCACCTTCTTCCTTGTTTGAGGCAGAATTTCTTGCTCACCGATGCATATGCCAGGGTAACCTGCCCCACTAGCTTCTGGTGATTCTCCTGTCTTCTATTTTGCTATAGAAAAGCTAGGATTATATATGCCTGCTGTCATATATGGCTTCCTTTGGGGTCTGGGAATCTGGTCCTCATGTGTGAATCACTTTTCATTCACCATCTCAGAGACAAGTCTGTTCCTCTGATCCAGAACCTTTAGAAACTAAGATTGTGAATTGTTGTAGAATATTATTTTAAGATGTGTTACATTTGTTTATTCTGTGAAATATTTTTTAGTGATGCAAAGATGTGTTGCATTCTTTTATGTTGCATTTTTTTAATTCTGTGAAGCTGTGTTAGTTTGCCTGTCTAAAACACATGATTGGTCTAATAAAAAGTTTGAACAGTCAATAGCAATGCAGGAGAAAGGATAGGTGGGGCTGGAAGGCAGATAGGATAAATAGGAGGAGTAATCTAGGAAGAGATCAAAGAACAAGAAAAGGAGGAGAGGACAAAAGGGCCAGCCACCCAGCCACCTAGTCACCCAACCAGACATGGAATAAGAAATAAAGAAAGGTATAGAGAAATAGAGAAAGATAAAGGCCCAGAGGCAAAATATAGATGAGATATAATTTAAGAAAATCTAGCTAGAAACAAGACAATCTAAGGCCAGGCATTCATAACTAAGAATAAGTGTCTCTGAGTATTTATTGAGAGTGGGATGGCAGACTCCCAAAAGAGTAAAAAATAAGTTCAAAAGAAAACAACAACAGTGATTCTTTGTGGTTATTTTTGTCTCCTTTGAAAACTTTCTATCTGCCTTACTTTATTGATTTGTAGCAAAAACCTTGGCTATAAAAAAAATCTCTATATTGTCTGCAGTGACATCAACACCAAGCTAGAGGAAGAGGAAAAGGACGATGGCTTTCTCCCTCCTCCCTCTTCTTTAGCAAGTCCCTGTAGCTTAAGTTGGCTTTAATCTTGAGATCCTCCCAGACCAGCCTCCAGCGGACTAAGATTGAAGGGGTGTGCCACCACACTTAGGCTTTTTATCAACTTAGCTTTTGACATGGGTCTCTATATGTGTGGTCAAAATTCAAAACTGAGCTATCTTTCAGGTAGATGTCTGAGTTTGGAAATGAGGCATGCTACCTATACAAATGTGTTTATCGCCTCATTTTTCAATAAAGCTAATGAAGGTAAAGGCTAGCCCTACCCTGGAGGCCCTGGACCTGGAGCTTCTGAGTGCAATGGCCTTTAAGGACCACTGTCCCATCATGTCGTCCATTTCTACCTACCAGAAGTATTTCATTTGCACTTTTCCCCAAATATGATGATATATTATTTATGACTTATTAAAGCTTGCCTGAGGGTTCAGAAGTGAAGCTAGCCACAAGCCATAGAGGTCTGACAATGGTGATACACACCTTTAATCCCAGCAGCCAATCCCAGTGGCATACATATTTAATCCCAGGACTCAGGAGACAGGCAGATGATCTCTGTTAGTTCAAGGCCACACACAAGACCTACATGAAAGTGATCCAATCCTAAAGAGAAACAGCTCACACAAAGGTGATCTCAGAACTTGGGATCACACACCTTTAATCCCAGGATTTGATAGGTATAAAAGGAAGAGGCAGCAGTCTAGGATTTCAGTCTGAGGATTCATGGCGCTAGCCAGGTCAATCTTTCAGTCTTGGTAGAGACAGGGTTGCCATTTCATCTGGGTAGAGATAAGAGCCACCGGCCTGGCTGCTTTGCTTCTCTGATCTTCAGCTTGAAGTTTGAACCCCAAAATCTGTCTCTGGGTTATAATTAATCATGTTACACCCAAATATATTTCATCAAAGTTTCCCCATTTATCTATTTGGAGAAAGGTTATTTCATACTGTGTGTCTGCTTCCACTCCATTCCTTTTTAATTTCGCTTTTATTGGCATTTTCTCGTTATCTGTTTTCATTCCACAATCTTGAACAAAAGTAACTATCCTGAAAGTCCCTCCTTTCTTTCAAAACATTTATTGTTTCCTGGCACAGTGCCAACAAGGACTTGTTTCTTGGAAGTGATGGGAGGAACGTTTGCAGTCTACAATGGCTATCGGCTGAACTGTCAGTCAGGTGCACCATAGCACCCCACTGTGACTGTGGGGACCCAGATCTCATCTTTCTCTCTTTCTCCACCATTGCCTGCATCGCATTCTCCTTCCTTCAAAACATTATTTATTCTCTCTCTGTGTGTGTGTGTGTGTGTGTGTGTGTGTGTGTGTGTGTATCACAGTGCACACGTAAAGGAGATGGATCTTTCCTTTCAGCATGTGGGTTCTGGGATCCGAACACAGGTGGCCAGGTGTGGCAGCAGTGGCCCTGTCCTCTGAGCCATCTGCCTGGTCCTCCTTCAGCTGTCTTTATCTGCTCTTAAAGGCTTCCTTTGCCCATCGTCTCTGCCCATTCTCTGATGGTTCTTCATGTGACTTAGTCATGACTAAGAAAAGGGAGGTGTGCTTCTCAGGGACTATTCTCCACCAGGCCTGTGCCTCTGCACCTGCACACAGTCCTGGAGCCGCTCAGGAATCCTGTCTGCCAGGACTCAGGCAGCTGGCCCGACTGTGCCTGTGAATGGTGCCTTTTGCCAAGAAAAATATGGCTTAAAATTTTCACACCAGTCTTTACTTGAAAATCAGTTTGGTCTAACAGCCATGCTGGTGCCTCTGCCTCCGCTCCTTCCTGTAAATGTTTGTGCAACCTCCCACCTTCCTCCTAAGCCACGTTTTCCAGCTCCCCCAAAGTTTTCTCTTTTAATAAGCAGGCTGCTGACGGTTGTGACATGCGTTGACATGTTGTAAATCAGTGTGGCTTGATTCTGTTGAGACTGCAGTGATGTGCTTGCCTGGCTGGGCTACTGTGGGGCTGAGCAGCTGCTTTCCCATCTCCTCCATAAGAACTACCATGGTTCTGGGTTTCACACTTTCTTTCCTTCCATCACTAGTGCCAGTGGGGCAACCTCGCAGTAAGGTGCATGCTGGCAGCCGGGTAGTCCAGCCTGCCTGCCCAGGAAGTGGCTCCTAAAGGCTGACCTTTCCATGTCTGAGGGTCAAATTCATGTCTGCTCAATGTGACAGGTTTCTGTACACAAGGGCTGCTCACTCCTAATCCCACCTATGAGGAAGGAAAAGTCAGTGGCTGAGTGTTCCAGGCTAGAATATAAAATGCCTCGTGTATAGCACTCAGGGGCAATACCCAAGCAGTAGAAGGACCTTTCTGGATAACAGGTAGAGGCACTGTGACTTCAGAGATGCTGTGTGACTTGCCCCAGGGACTTTGAGTTTGTGGCAGTGGGATAGAAACAAAGCCTTGTCTCCTAGCTCAACCTCCTCCCATAGCCAGGAACTCAAGAAAGGGACACATGAGCTACATGTGGCTTTAAGAAGACACTGGAAGGTTGGGGAGATAGCTAAGTAGATAAAACACTTGCCTCACAAGCATGGTCCCAGAATCCATGTAAAAAGCTGGCATGGTGGTAGATGCTTGTAAACCCAGAGGTCTCGAGACAGGCAGATACCTGGAGCTCACAGGCCTGCTCGCCTACTTGGTGAGTTCCAGGCCAGTAAGAGATTATATCTCAAACAAATAG